TGAAGTCTTAATGCCCAGTACCTCAGAATGTGACCTTATATGAAAATGGGGTCTTTACAGAGATAACCATATTAAAATGAGGTCATTAGGTTGGCCCTCATTTAATATTACTGGTATTTTATAAAAAGGGAAATTCCGAACACAGAGACATGCACAGACAGAAGACTACGTTAAGAGACACAGGGAGAACACCATATGGCAGAGATTGGTGTGATGCAGCTACAAGCCAAGAAATGCCATAGACTGCCAGGAATCAAGCAGAAGCTAGTAGGGGGGAATAGAACAGATTCTCCATCCTGGTTCCCAGTAAAAATCAACTTTGCCAATTGAACTTCTAGCCTCCAGAACTGTAAGATAATGATTTCCTTTGTTTAAGTCACTCAGTTTCCGGAAGCCCTAGAGAACTAATACAGATGGCAAAAGGGAGTGGGCTGCTTCAGCAAGAAATACCTAAAAAAGTATAAGTTGTTTTGAACTTAAGAAATGCACAAAGACTGAGTTTTGAGGTAAATGGCAGAAAAAAACTAGACTGCCTTGAAGAGACTGTTGGTAAAAAGTATGGATGTTAAAGGAGAGTCTGTGGAGAGTTCATAAAGAGGAAAGCTGGAGAGAAAGCTTCTATCATCTTAGATCATACATCACCACAATCAATGTCGCTAGAAATATAAATGTTAAAGATGTTGGGGTATCAGACAAAAATGAGGATCATTTTATTGGAAACTGGAGAATAGGTGATCCATGTTAATGGAAACTGAAGAAAAGCTGACAGAGAATTTGGTTGAATTGTGTTCTGTAGAGTGGAAAGAATTTATCCATGATGAACTTTTTATATTTAGCTGAGGAGAATTTTAAACAAAGTATTGAAGGTGCAGCCTGGTTTCTCCTTGTTGTTTACAGTGAAATACGAGAGGTAAAAGATAAACTGAAGAATGAATCCTGCCTGAGTTTTCCTGCAGATTTTGAATTTCCCGCAGATTTTGGACTCAAGAGAGCAATATCAACTCTTACCTGAAAATCTAGGCTGCCATCCTGGTCTACAAATTTCTTACTTGCTAGCTTCCACAATCGTGTGAGTCAACTATTTAAAATTTTAAATATGATCTCTTTCTCTGTCTCCATATGCAAGTGCATGCCATGCATGGATATAAATATATATATATACATTTTATATGTGTGTGTGTGTATAGCCAGTATATATACCTAGCATGTCAGACAGTGTGTGAAGCACCTTGAAAAATAATGTGAGAAGCCATTGTATCCAATATTTCTAGCTCAGATAGATTGGAGAATAACATTGCTGTTAGAAAGTTTTTAATATTCAATATCTCATAGGTAGTTATAAGTGGAGTTTAGGGAAAATGATTCAGGTCTAGAGTTCTGAAAACCATCTGTAAACAATTTTTTTTAAAACTGTGGTACTAGATAACTTTTTGAAGTCAGAGGGTAGGAAATAAAGTTGTTGAGAAAAGAAGAGAGAATAACTCAATACACTTGAGGGTACCCTTTTGTGAAACATACCTTGAGGAAACAGAATAGCCTATATCCATTTGTTCTTACATTTTTCAAAAATTACCTCTAAGCATCTGTATTAGTCAATGTTCTCCAGAAAAACAGATGACGACCCCAGTCTCTTTCAGTCTGGGAAAGCTCAAAGATGCCAAAAGCATCTGTTTGTTCCAGCCAACACCTTATTTTGGTGCTAATTTTTAAAATTCTTCCTTAATGCTGACAAATCTCCCATTTAAATCAAAAGAAATCAAAGTCTAAATGAATCACATTTTTTATTCATTATGTTGATACTGTTAGTTTTTAACGGGTCATTATGCTATTTCGATTTATATTAATCATATACAGTTTTCTATTTTAAAATTCGTTTACATATAAAAGGTAGGTTAATTTTAAAAAAAATTAAGTATATAAGAGAAATAGGAAGATTGATAAAATACTCTTCCTGACTAAACTATAGCCAGCTTCCTCTGATCCCTTTTACTGGCAAAGCCTCCACTTTGGCCTATAAAAACTACAGACTCTCAGTACAACTGATTTCATCCACATCCTCCCCTCTCCTACCCCTACACACATATCAAAAGACTTGAACAAACACTAATATAGTTTCTAACAGCTCAAAGTTGCATTCTTAAGATGAAATTTGGAGTTATCCTGGACTTATCCCTCTCTCTACATCAAATTAATCTTGTTAATTTTGTCTCCAAAATGCCTACTAATCATCTCTTCATTCTCTGCCACTGATTCACCCAGGACTGTACTGTATCTTACCTAGATTATTAAAATAAAATACTCTCTTTTCCTTTTGATTCTCATGACCTTACTTGACTTCTTTTCAATCCATTTTATACACCATTGTTAGAGAAAGCCCCCTAGAGCAAAAAACTGTTCTTTCCTTCCTTACAATGGTTTCTGCATATATTAATGGTGAAATACTAACTAGTAAGTCCCCATTCAAAGCCCTTCACAAAGTGATACAAATTCTTCTTTCTGTGATTCCTCCTCTACCCCATGCACTTTCTATTTTGTGATATGAAAATATTGGTAAAGATCCAATTTTTATGTTCAAAATTTGAAAAAATATAAAAGTCCAAAAAACTCAGAATAATTTAAAAATGGGCCTCAAAAATGAACTGAAAGATGTATTTTATACTGCAGACACACAGTGGCACCATTTTAGCAGCCTAACAGCAATACTAGAGAACCTTTGTTAATATTGTGTGATTATGCGCTAAAATTGTGCAAGTGCTTTAAATGGCTAATGTGATACTACTTTAATCATTTATTAATGGTATTGTTAGTGCTAAAAATGCTCCACAATATCATTAACTTTGAAAAATAATTTAGAGGTGATAGTTATTTATAGATTGTTTTTATTACTCCTTTGTTTTAGGCTGAATTGTGTCAACACTTCCATGTTCATATGTTGATGTTCAAACCCCCAGTATCTCAGAATGTGACTGTATTTAAAGATAGGGTCTTTAATGAGAAAATTAATTTAAAATTATTAGGATCGGCCCAAATCAAAGATGACTCAAAAATGAACTGAAAGATGTATTTTATACTGCAGACACACGGTGGCACTATTTTAGCAGCCTAACAGCAATACTAGAGAATCTTTTTAAATATTGTGTGATTATGCTCTAAAGAAAGCATATAATTTTCTGATAAGAAAAATATCAGAAATGTCAGCCTTATAAGATACTGCGGTTTTCTAAAGTGTGGGACAAATACCTGTGGAGGCACCAAGATAGATTTAGGTGAGATATAGACATGGTATCAAGGACACTGTGTCATTCAGATAAAGTTTTTCTTTCACTTATTTCTGGTAAGAAAATTAGGAAACAGACATGTATAGAGGGAAGACCCTGTAAGAAAACAGAAGGCACTGATCTACAAGCCAAACAGAGAGGTCTCAGAAGAAACCAGCTGTGCTGATATATTGATCTCAAACTCTTAAGCCTCCAGAATTGTGAGAAAATAAATGTCTATTGTTTAAACCACCAAGTCAGTCTGTGGTATTTTGTCATGGAAGCCCTAGCAAACTCATATTCCCTTCAGTATATTTACAAATATAGAAACCATACAATAGTTGTGGATTAATGTACTATATAGGAGTGCAATCTCCATATTATATATTTATTCTTACAGAGAAACTGAGTCTTGATTTATGGGTTTGTAAATCATTTGAACTCTTCAGAAATCCTTGCCACAAATAAAATGCCACTGTCCTGAATGTTGACCGCGTTCTCTACTGACAATTAACCCAATATATTGTGTGTTTTTCCTCATTTGTATCCTTGCTCAGCTGAGCCGAGTTTAATGGAGTGGTTAAGGGTGCAGGCTCTAGAGAGAGACTGTGTGGACTCACAGCCCCGGTTCATCACTAACTGTGACTCTAGGCAGTTATTTAAAAAGCGTGGGCCACATTTTTCTTGGAAATCTATAAAACAGATATTAAAAGTGCCAGCAATAGAGGGCTCTGTGAAGATCAAAAGAATTGATACAAAGTATGTAGAATAGTACTGGGAACTGAGAAAAATGTGTTATGCTGTTGATTATTCCTCTGCTTAAGTTCCATTTATCTTCTTGGGTAAAAACAAAAAACTGCCTATCCTTCAAAGCCCAGAAAAGATACCTCCTGTTTCTTCTCAAGTTGAATAATAAACTTACGCTGTCAAAGATATTGCAAGATATGAGCTTTAGTTTCCAAAAAACTGGATTCAAATAATTTTTGCATTGATCTATGATGTAATTTTAGACATTCTGCTTAATTTGTTTGAGTTTCCAGAGCTGGTATATAACCTGACACAGTGGAGCTCAGCATTTTTCTAATAAATATGTTTTTCCGTTTGTAGGTTGGGAAATATTAGAATATCAGCCTTATAAGATACTGCGGTTTTCTAAAGTGTGGGACAAATACCTGTGGAGGCACCAAGATAGATTTAGGTGAGATATAGACATGGTATCAAGGACACTGTGTCATTCAGATAAAGTTTTTCTTTCACTATTACAATCAATGTTATGGCCCGTTTCCTTTCAGATGCACTTCAAGATTAGCTCAGTCACTGACAACATGGGGAATATATTTCGACCTCAGATTTTAAAAGTGTCATTATTATTTAGACACTAGGTAGAAGGCTAAGTCTCAACGTTGTGCTAATAATAGCATCGTTTATCCCTGGACTAAGACCTCCGCTCCTGGTTGGGCAATCAGACTGCCTGGGCGGCACTCCAGGCTCGACAGCTCCCCAATTGCGACCTCCTGGGCAAGTCACTCGGTCCGGAATTCCTGACGTAGTATGGGGGAACTGACAGTACAACACACAACACAGGGCAGTAGTGAGAAACAGATAATGCAAAGCAATTGGCACAGCACTCAACAGACAATATAAGCTAATATATACTCTGCCTGCACACTGCGTTTTAGGGTTAATCGAAAGCCCCCACTCACGTGACCACTCCATTGCCCGGCGCCAAGACGAGCTGATGTCACGACGTCGTGCGCCGTGCAGGCGTCAGCAAGCTGCGCCGCGCCTTCGGGGTGCTTCCGGAGCTGGTACTTGGGCAAAGCTACCGGGGGGTTATTGTCTTCGCTTCACAGGGTCTATTTGAGTCCTGTCCACCGGACCCTACCCGGGGTACCTTTGAAAACAAACGGGCTATGTTGCTGTTGCTTGTCGGTACCCTCTCCTGACGCCTCCGTCGCCCGGGTCATGTGGACCCTCGTGGGTCGGGGTTGGGGGTGCGCACGCACTCCCGCGCGGTGGGCCACTGGGGCCGCGCTTGGGCCCGCGCCGACGTTTGGGGCTGCTCCAGAGTCCTGGCCTACCTGCAGGGTCTACAGCTCTGCAGAATTCAAGGTGACTGCCCCCTGGAATCTGATATAGCCACGTTTTAAAACATTGGAGTACCCCATGCGATCTTGGAAATGTGTAGGACTTTCTGGGACTAGCTCTGAATCCTGCTTACAGGGAGGCAGAGTGTGAGCACGGCTCAGGTTCCCGACCCTCCACCGTTCACTAGTGTGACCTTGGGCAAGTCACTAACTTCGTAGGTTTTCTCATTTGCAATGTCAAATGTTGATTTGTTTACGCGAGCCACTGGTCGAAGTGCTTTGCGGGTATTCATCTATTTAATTCTCCTAAAAAGTCTGCTGAGAAAGTTGCTAGTAAATATTAATATAACGTCCATTTTCCTGCAAATTAACTAGCTATGTGGCCTGGGCAAGTTACTTCTTTGTCACTCTCCTGCTTCATTTGTTGAATGCAGAACTAATCAAACATCCAGTGGCTAATTGGTGAGATTTGTGTGATTTGAGGAGTGGACTTTTTTTTTTTTTTTTTTTTGAGACGGAGTCTTTGCTCTGTCGCCCGGGCTGGAGTGCAGTGGCACGAACTCGGCTCGCTACAAGCTCCGCCTCCCGGGTTTACGCCATTCTCCTGCCTCAGCCTCCCGAGTAGCTGGGACTACAGGCGCCCGCCACCTCGCCCGGCTATTTTTTTGTATTTTTTAGTAGAGACGGGGTTTGGGAGGCCGAGACGGGCGGATCACAAGGTCAGGAGATCGAGACCATCCTGGCGAACACGGAGGAGTGGACTTTTTTAAACTAATACCTAGAATGCAGGAAGTGCTCGGTCTTTGTATTTTTATTATTTCCTTCTACCTCAGCCAGAGCAAACCTGTGTACTTTTGACTCTGGTGGGAGAGGGTGGGAGGTTCCACAACTCTGATAATTGTGAATGGATACAGTTTAGGCAGAAAAGTGAGGTGACTGAAGGCAAGCTATAAGTAGGCAGAAAGACAAAACCTTATAATTAATCAACTTTGGCCCTAATATGCCTGTGGTTTCAAAAATGGATTTATATTGCAATTCACGGTTTTAAAGATGGTGCAATTCTCTACCTTTTGAACTGAAGGGAAAGAAAATCTACGGGGCAAACATCAGAATTGGTCTTTTTTTGGTGGGGGGGCAGACTTTCAGCTATAATTGTGCTTTTATTATCTGTCTTATATGGGGCTGTTATAAAAAAACTTAAAGCTCTTGTGAATTTTATATTTCATTTTAATTTTATGGTTTTGATGATTGTGAAATATAGAGTTGATTGGAAAGAAATGTTTAGAGTACAGAAAACTGGTATATTTTGCTTGATAACAATTTCTAGCAGTTTGTGATGTGTTTTAGTAAAAACGTTAAAGATGTGTACACGTAAAACCAGGAGTTACATTTAAAAATATTTTTAAGTTTTAAGTGAAAGTCTTTTGTTGGATGTCATCTGTTTTTCTTTCTCACCAGAGAAGCTGTAAAGTAGCAAAATTGTATCTAAAATAAAATTTTGAGGCTCAGTTAGAAACACAGATTTTTAAATAAATCTGATTCCTGGTTAAATGTGTGATAGGAGCAGAAGATTTCTTTCAGCTTTTCTGTAGCTCCGTTGCCTCAAAAGTTACTGGACAAGGTATTCTCAGATCTTTAGAAGTTCTAGGTATCTTAAGTTCATTCATGATAATAAATTCAGTTCCTGGCTGGCCCTAAAAATGGTGTAGAAATGTTAAGGGATTATTATTTAGCTGTATAGTTACCTTTGACTATTAAACTGATGTTCCTTGTAATATGAACTTAACCATATATGTCTTTATTCTTAGAAGAATAATATAAACAATATAAATGCTAGAAATGATATTGTTCAACGATTAAAAGAATATTCTTTGAATTGTTATACTTGTTTGATAGTATGCAAAATTTATACTCTTAAATGTGGTATTTCCCCTTTCTAGGAAAAACTTGACATGTCTAGGTTTCCTGTTGAAAATATTAGAAATTTCAGTATCGTTGCACATGTGGATCATGGCAAAAGTACTTTAGCTGACAGGCTCCTAGAACTTACAGGTATTTCATTTATATTACATACTTAACTGATGGCTGTGAGTTATTGAGAATTACTTTTACTCTTAAATTTTAATTTTATATGTAATATTCTCTTTTTTTTAAAAGCCCAGAGAAATATCAGTGTTTCTGTTTATAGGGACAATTGATAAAACAAAGAATAATAAGCAGGTTCTTGATAAATTGCAAGTGGAACGAGAAAGAGGAATCACTGTTAAAGCACAGACAGCATCTCTTTTTCACAATTGTGAAGGAAAGCAGTACCTTTTAAATCTCATTGATACACCGGTAAGTTTAATATTAATTTTGCGTGTATTATTAAAGTCAACATTGTGTCAGTAGTGCAGACAGATCCTTGTTTAATTTTTGAACTGAATATTAAACATTTGCCTTTGCTTTTTGTTTTCTCAGTGTTCTTGTGTTAGTGTCAGTTGTTTCAAAAGTGTAGGGTACAAAAAAGAAACGAGTATTTAACAACTTTTATCAAGTCAATAAATTTGACATAATGCCCTTTCCTAAAAAACTACCTCAGATTTACAGGTATCAATATTTTTGTTTCTCAGGGCCATGTTGATTTTAGTTATGAAGTATCCAGGTCACTTTCTGCTTGCCAGGGTGTTTTACTTGTGGTTGATGCAAATGAGGTAGGCATTTTTCATTTTGCATGATGTGACGTGATATGACATGACTATGGTTGTTTCAAGAGTTTTTCTTTAAAATGTGTTTTGGAAATGGAATTTTTGTGTTTGAAAAATAGATTTATTACTTATTGAAAATCATATGGTTTCATCCTATTAACTTGAAATATTATTACACTAAAGCATTCTCTGGAATTGACTAGTTTTTAAATTGGAATTGTTCAAAAGATTGTTGTATTTTTTTTGAAGTGTGACATCATGTTATCAATGCATCTTACAAAAAAAACCCCACCAACTTTCGCATTTCTTAATCTGAGGTTTCTATATCCATTTTTTAGCAGATCTTGAGAATAAATCATTAGTTTCAGATCATTTTAGGTGATTTTAAGGCAATAATTTGGGAAGTATTAGGTTTTTAAAAAATCAATAACATTACTAAGCTCTTTTGTGGTGTAAACCATAAAGACATTCAGCAGATGACCATATAAGAGCTGTGAATATACTAAAGTAAGCTTTTGATACATGTTTCTCACAAACTCTTCATTCAAAACCCAACTTTTTTTAGTGGTGGTGGTGGTGGTGGTGTTGTGTTAAGCCTTTCCTGATCCCATCAAGGAAAGTCAATCTTGACCTTATATAGGCAGTACTGGGCTTTATAAACTGCCTTGATGACTGTGTTCTTTACTAAGCTTTGAGGTCCTTGAGAGTCCATGTTACATCTTTTGTTTCTCCAATGCCTGATGTATTTCCTGGCACAGAAAAGGCCCTCCAATAAATGCTTTCTGAACTGAAAGGAATTATTACCGAGAATGATTCAGATGCATGGAAAAATAGCTATCATAGTTGATTTGCCCTGTACCTTTCCTTAAAGGCTTCTTATCTCAAACTTAGTAGACTGTTGGCTCACTCTACTTGGTGTGGTTATTGCTTTACCATCAGCGATTTTCATTTTGATCCCAAAGACATAAGTTGGAGAGAAAAGTATGAAGGGTAGCTACGTGGTATTTTGTTTAATTTTATTATTAGCATGATGCAAAGTCTCTTGATGAAGATGTGTGGAATGGTCTTAAATTACAAGTTTTGTGATAGATAATAGAATGGTCATCTCAGTGTCTTGTGTCTTGATATTTTCAGGGTATTCAAGCCCAAACTGTAGCAAACTTCTTTCTTGCTTTTGAAGCACAGCTATCGGTAATTCCAGTTATAAATAAGGTAATTACAATGAGACAACAGTGTTTTATTTCACTTTCTAAAAATACAATTAGTGTTTAAATGTCAGTTGTACTATTTATTATATGAAGGATCTCCTGCTGTTTATTAAATATATTGGTGGGATTTATCTCTTTGAATTGTATGTAACAGAAGTGCAACTTAAACTCACCCTTGCACAGAGTTGAGAAGATAGTTCCCCTGAATTATCTTACAGTAACTGAGGGCCATTTCTGTAGGGAAGGAATGCAGGGCAGATGAAACATGTTTGTCCGATTAAACCATACATAGGAAAAGAAGAGAAGTTTATAATCTAGGAAGAAACAATACAGCACATGAAGCCTGACAATTTAGTGCTAAACTGAGCTCTGTCTATAAACTTCCATTTCATATTTTAAAATTAATTTAGAATCTTAATTTTACAATCTGCATTGCTTTAAATTATATTTATTGATAATGGAGTTAAGTTTAAAAGAAGGCCATAGGTAGGACAGCTTGTTGTCAGACTTAATGTTATATTTAACTTTTAAAATCAGTTCACATGCTGCTTAATTGATAAATTACTACTGATCTCTTCTGCTGCCCTGGGTAGCTAACTGCGTAAAGTTTTTTTGCATGCTCTGCTACCTAACTTCTCTTTTTCAATCATAGTTATTAAATTGTACTGCTAATATATAGATTATTTTACTGCTTTTGAAAAAATATCATAGAGGGGTCAGTTAGGATGAAGTGGGTAAGCTTTTAACTACCTCCGAATACTGTTAATACATAATACATCTTATCCTTATTATACTAACACATAATGGATTTTCTTTTTTTAAAGATAGATCTGAAGAATGCTGATCCTGAAAGGGTTGAAAACCAAATTGAGAAAGTGTTTGATATTCCAAGTGATGAATGTATTAAGGTAAAATACTTTCCTAAAAAGATTATACTTTGAAAAAAGTCGCAGGAAATTGGGCTAAGTGAAATTTCATGGTATTTGATAACCTGACATTATATGCTGTATTTTTATAGTTTTGCAAATTTCTTTTACTATTAATTTCCTTTTATCCTTACCAAAAGTCCCTTTTATATTGTTGGGACATACAGAAATTATTGTGATGCTGTAGTTAAAGGAACTGAGGCGCAAAGGTTTTAATCACTTTCTTAAGATCATGGATTTAGTTAGCCAATGTGCCAGGACTAAAACACAGGCCTTCTGAAACTCGCTGCTGTATTTCTTGTGTGTCATTTTGCCCAGTGGAAATACTGTCTTTGAAGAGCAGGTTCAAACTAATTTCAAGGCATTTGTATGTATCATTCTTGGAACGGACAAAAACCTATTTTATAAAAAGCTATAGTAGTGCTAGGAAACAATGGATTTTATTTATATCAAAGTTGCCACCATTATAAATTTGAATTTTTGTTTACCTTTCAAATGATGATTTGCTTGTTAAACAGCCACTGCCAAACTGCTATGCTACATGGTAGTGTAAAGTATGTCAGCGCAGCACTGTAATGTTTTTCTTTCAATCTCATTTAATTTTCAAAAGAGCAAGTTATACATGGTTTTATATTTTGGATTGTGTTATATTAAAATGCAATTAACTATTCTGATTTTAATCTTAGTAAAATTCATTCAGATTCTTATTTGGTATATGCCAGCTAAGAGTATGGCAGTGAACAAGACAGACAAGACAGTCAGTAAATAAGTAAAGACAGACAGACTTTCTGCAGTTAATAAATAAGTAAACAAAGAAGTAACCATAGGAATTATTGACTAGGATAGAGTTTGTCGAGGAAATTCATTTGACAAATTGTTATTATTCCAGGTGAAATACCATAATGAACAGTGAAAAGTCTGTTTTCTTAGAGAGATGTTATGACATGGAATAGCTTAGCAAAAGCGTCTCTGATAAACTGAAACATGGAGGAATGAATAATTTTCCGAAAAGCATTCCAAGAATAGAAAAGAGTGAGTGTAAAGGACTTAAATTAGAAAAGATTTGGCATGTTTACTGATCAGAAAGGTAGATTGGATGAGAAGGCTTTGTAGGGGTATGCAGGAATCAAGTTGTGCTGGGACTCTTGTGCTAAAGAGCTTGAAAATTATTCTGAGGCAATGGAAGGATTTTAAAGCAAGAGAAACAAATAAATTCAGGTAGCCTTACAGAGAATGGATCAAAGAGGTGTAAGAAAAGATACAGGGAATCCAGCTATGAATAGTAGCCCAGATGTGAAATTATTATATCTTAAGTATTAACTATCCATATGAAAAGGAGATTATGATCCAGGAGGAAACAACATAACCCATAAAACATAACAGTTCATTGCTAAACTGAGCACTGTCTACAAACCTCCATTTTCATACTTTAAAATTAATAAATAACCTTAATTTTAAAATCTGCATTGCATTAAATGATGTTTCTTGATTTGGAGTTAAGTATATAAGAAGAACGGCTGCCCAGAGGCAAGATAGCTTGTTTCAGATACAAGAAATGAACCATACCATTCATTTGATTTCTTTTTTCTGGTAATGTTAAGCTGCTCTGTGTATGGGCATAGAAAAAACATAATTGGATGCAGTCAAGGTTGAGGTTTTGCCAGCTGCCTCTAATAAGGAGAGAATAGAAAGTGGTTGAACCAGAGTGATTGTAAATGATGGATCTTGGAGTCCCATCTGGGAAAGAATAGAAATGGAGTGGAGGGTGGAGCTGATGGACAGCATCAAGTAGTATATTCAGTAGTTACAAGTTAAGGACTGTTGTAAAGAAAGTGCTACAGTCTAGAGCAGTAGTTGTCAGTGTTGGGTGGTTTTGCCCCCTGGGCAAATATTTGGAGATAGTTTTGGTTTTCACATCTTGGGAAGGATGCTACCAGCATCTTGTGGGTAAATGAGGTGCCCTGGTTGCTGCTGAACATCCTATAATGCACAGGACAGCCTCCCAAAACAAAGAATTATCTGGCACAAAATGTCAGTAGGGCTGAAACTGAAAATTCCTGGTCTAGAGTGAATGGGAAGGGTAAGAAGTTTGAAATCAGGATTTCAGAGATAGTCCATTTATTACTGGTGATAAAGGTCAGTCATACCATGTGGTTTGAGTGTTGGCTTGCTTTTCTGGTGTGAGAACAGTAAAGTTAGTAGTAAGATGCCTTATGGTTTTATGCCATCCACATACATTGTTTATTCACACAACAACCTTGAGATTTAGGCAGAATGTAAATAATCACTTCCTTTTTTAGACGATGGAATTTATACTCAAGGAGATAGATACTGTTGAAATACACGCATTCAATGCAGAGACATGATTGTTACCCAGATTTTGAACTCTTAGTCTATTCCTCTTTCAGTGCCATAATCAGGACTCTCTTGTAATTCAATTCTAGAACTGTAGAACTACCCAGTTATAATAGAAAAAGAGGTATTTGTCAATATACTGTTTGCTTTGTTCTTTTCCTTTTGCTGTATTTCTCAAATTGATAACTATTGGAATTATTTCTTCCTTCTGATCATAAGTCACAGGTCATCAAGATAGAAAAGTATAGTCAACTTTAAATGCTTATATTTTTCGCATGTATCTTTTTAGATTTCTGCTAAACTTGGAACAAATGTTGAGAGTGTTCTTCAGGCAGTTATTGAAAGAATTCCCCCGTGAGTATTTGGTGATTTTTGTACTAGTTGTCTCTATTTAATAGTTCAAAAACTGTCTATGCTTAATAGTTCAAAGATTTTATCAGCTTGAACTGTTATTTTAGCTTAACAGATGTGGCAAATATTCTTGCAGGGAGTGAGAATAAATTTATTTGCTTTTAGTAAAATATAGAAGGCAAGTACAGTAAAGTAAAGAAAAAGCAAAGATGATTGATGGAGGTCTTTTCATGACAATCATTATAAAATATACCTCAGTACATTGGCAATTGTTTTCCTTTGCTTTAAGCTGAACAAATATATTTAAAAATAATTTGTTAAAACTGGAGGTTATTAAATCTAATATATTTTATAAAAAGGTCTTTTTATTTAGGCTGTTGTGTATCAAACTTTCTCAAGAACTCTAAGTTGAAAACAGGAATTTTATTAAGATTTTAATTTAGTATATATGTATTTACTTTTTACTTATATTTACTAGCCCTAAAGTGCATCGCAAAAATCCCCTGAGAGCTTTGGTATTTGACTCCACCTTTGACCAGTATAGAGGTGTGATAGCCAATGTAGCATTATTTGACGGAGTGGTTTCCAAAGGAGATAAAATTGTATCTGCACATACTCAAAAGACATACGAAGTTAATGAAGTAGGAGTTTTAAATCCTAATGAGCAACCAACTCATAAATTGTAAGTAATCTGCATTAGTAATTAAAATGCATTTGTATGTGGTTCTGTTTCTGCATTTTTCTCAACTTGGTATGCTTAGAATGATCCTCATTTGATAACTTAAAAAAAACTATTTAATGCAACTATACAGTAAATGCTCTGTCAGAAGGAATCTTGGGTGAAGGACAGTAGAAATGTCAGTTGATACTTTTTTTATTCTAAATGACTAATTATAACTAGGTTTACGATCAAGGGTAGATTGGATCCTATATTGATACATTTGATGAGACAATGAAAGAGTTCCCTCCACCCATATTGGGTATCATTTTTGACAGTTCTTCATAACTAGATTTTCCATTGTAAAGGTGGTATAACAGAAACCTTAATAAATCTTTAGTGTGGAATTCATGGTAAAACCTTGATTAAAATTCTTGGGGAGTGGGATTAGCAAGAGTAGTGTGCATTAGAAAAACACATCTGAATTGACTTGTAAAAGAACTGTTTATTGAGTGCCTACTCCATATCAGGTGCTGATGAGACATGACCTTGGATACATACTTTGAGCTTTGTAAGGTCCTATTTCCTCATTTGTAGAAATTATTGAACCAGATGACTATCAGATCACATTTGAGTGTTTAGTGTTGTATGTCTAAAAACAGCACTATATTGAGTCAAAGTCTATTTTTACTGAAATATTTTAACATCTATTTATATTCTGCCATATATACTGAACATTATCACATGTTCATTTAAGGTTCTTAAAGCTCATTCTAAGTGTAAATTATCTTAACTTTGTAGGGATTTTTTTTTTTTTTAAACTACAGCTGAACTCAGAATTTGTTCTTTTGCTAAAGGAGGAACATCAGATGTTCAGTTTGTTCAGAGTTCACATTTTTCTTGGATAAAAAGTTACCTTTTTTCCCATTGTTAAAGCATTTGCAACACAATTCATTAATAAAAGACATCACAAGTAGTGTACTTATTGTAATGCTTTTCTATAATGCTATAGAAAAACTAACTTTGTACTTACTAGTTTCACTGTATTTACAATATACTTTAGAAACTGCTGTTTAAATTGCAAAGGTTGGCAGAATCATGAAAAAGGTGGTAGGTTTATAAGTAGAGAGGTCTAATGGATTGTAAGACCTGGTGTGTTCATTTGCTGGCAAGCTTCAGAGTTTGATAATTGATATGGAGCACTTATTTTCAAAGTGTATGGAAAGTTTGGAAAGTGTATGATAGTTTCCTGGGAAGGTAGAACTAATTGTGAGTTATGTTCTTGAAACATTAAAGCAGTAAATATTTGCATATAATAATTTTATTTAGATATGCAGGACAGGTGGGCTATCTGATTGCTGGGATGAAAAATGTCACTGAAGCGCAAATAGGAGATACATTATATTTACATAAGCAACCAGTGGAGCCCTTGCCTGGGTTTAAATCAGCGAAACCAATGGTATTTGCAGGTGAGGAGCTCACAAATTCAAAGGTTGAAGGCCATGATATTTTTAAACTAAAAGTTTGTCTCAGTGGTTAGGGAAAAAATACACATTCTGATTATGTTAAATAACCACGAATTCCAGCATATTGTTTCACTTAATTCTTTGTGCTGTTTATCAGTTTATAATTTCATATGTATGATGAAATTATATGTGGGAGATCATTTAGGATGTGTTAAGAAATAAGCTCTTAAGGAAGAAGTTGTGATGTATAGAATACAGTAATATAAATTTTTCTTACTTTTCTAGGGAGTTCATTATTATATTTGAAACATTTTTCTAATTAGGATGTTCTTATTACTGATTATCATTAGACACTGACTATCTTCATCTTCGATAGAGTTTCCTTAATATTGTATTGTACTCATGTAGACATGACAGAGAATGGTGTTGCCTCAAGTATATATAATTTCAGAATCTGTTACTTCCTTTACTTTGGAGAAAGGAAGACCTGATTGAAGGTCATCAGGTTACTCTGTGCCGAGTATCTAACCCTTGATTTTCGCCCTACAGTCTCTCTCACTGGGAATTAGGAACTTTGTTTACCCCTACCTTTAGGCAAAGTCAGTCATCTGGATTTTAGAGGACTTCAGAGTTGTCAGATGAAAGAGAATCAGTAGTGATTCCCATAGTTTTTGTAAGTAAATACCAAAAAGCAAAATTTAACTATGGTTTTAAGTAGATAATCTGCCTTAGAAAATTGAGAGTGCAGTATAGTTTTCATTTCTACTCCTATTTTTAATCTAATAATAAAGTTTCATTTGGGTTGTGGGATGTCTTGTGCTTTTGTTTTTGCAATTACAATGTGTTTTCTTAATAGGCCTAATTCCCAGGATTTTTTTTTTTTTTTTCCCTGTAGTTTTTCAAAAACATTAAAAACATTATTTGGAGTGCCAATCTAGGTGTATCTTCTTTAAGACTAATGACTTGTAAGATACTTTGAAACCAAATTATCATAAATTTTTAGCAAACCAGTATTTTGGTCCATAAAATACAAAAAAGTAATTTAAAAGGTAAATGACTAATTTGGAACTTGGCAGCACTACACATGTGGTTTGATTGGTCTGAAGGCAGCTTATCACGTGATAATTAGAAATCATTGTATCCCCAGGAATGTATCCTGTAGACCAATCTGAATATAACAACCTGAAGAGTGCTATAGAAAAACTAACTTTAAATGATTCCAGTGTGACAGTTCATCGGGATAGTAGCCTTGCTCTGGGTGCTGGCTGGAGGTAAGATTCATTCACTTTTTATAGGAAAGAAAGGTATAAATGGTATATTTTAAAAATATTTTTATAAGAAAGGGAGGTTTTTTTAAAGTATCAAGTACGGGAGGTATAAAATGCTGCATTGTTCTGGAACATTTACTGAAAATAAGTTTATATTAGTGTAAAGTGGACAAAAACAATTTTTATCTGCCTGTTTCACGTTGTGGATTGACATTTTATGGGTAAGTTTTATAGTGATTTAAAATAGATTCCCAGTGGAAGATTTTAATCTTACTTAATGAAATTATGCTAGCATTTAATTATATTGTGAATTCTTTGACTCAATTCCATCCCTCCCTTAAAATAACAATATGTTCATTTAAAAAAAAAAAAAAAATGAAGCCCATGGGACATAAACATTTTGGAGTTTATCTTTTCCTCCCCCAGGCTAGGATTTCTTGGACTTTTGCACATGGAAGTTTTCAACCAGCGACTGGAGCAAGAATATAATGCTTCTGTTATTTTAACAACCCCTACTGTTCCATATAAAGCTGTACTTTCATCATCAAAATTGATAAAGGTACTTAGTATTTAGTACTGTTTTGCATTAGTCTCTTGGAAAAAATAAATGTGTGTATATACAATGCAGGAGAAGCTTTTTACTATACCAGTAGCTGATTAAGTTTTAAATATTTATTGGTTAGTAGTAATAAACATTGAATTACCCTATGCCTAATGATGAAGAACTTTTTTGAAAACTAATTTATGCAGTATTTTTCTTAACCTGATATAATCTCCACATTATCAAAACTAGTCTATTGCTGATAGTAAAAAGTAAAATTAGTAGTGAAAACAATGTTCTGATTCTAGCACAAAGATGAAAAATGTAATTTTGGTCATAAGTAATTTCTCTCATAAAAAAAGAAGCATTGATTCCAGTGACTGAGAAATTTTAAATTTCAAATCAGTGATGAAGACAATATTGTATTCCATGTAAGTGGCAATCTGTTCATTTTAAGCAAATACTAATTTTGGCAATCTAAATATTTTCCAACAAAATTAACTTTTAAACTATAATGTTTTATAAATGTCAGGTTAAAATGTATTCTTTTGTCATACTTTTTCTAAATGGTCCATGAAATATGTTTAGTAAATATCAATAATTGGAATATATTGTTTACTAGTACTTATTAATACTAAATTATTTCAGCGGGAGAGATTTTAAAATATAAAGCAAACAAGAAAAATGATCATTATATTAAGATTTCTTTTTAAGTATTGCTGATTTTTCTAATTTTTAGGAATATAGAGAAAAAGAAATTACAATTATCAATCCTGCACAATTCCCTGATGAATCAAAAGTAACAGAATATTTGGAGCCAGTTGTTTTGGGCACTATTATCACACCAGATGAATACACTGGAAAAATAATGACGCTTTGCGAGGTATAACTGTAATACAATTTAATACAAAATTAGGTTTTAGTCCTCTGAAATAGTGATTTCCAACTTGTTTTAAGGCTGAGCATACTGAATTTAAAGAGATTTTCATATATATATATATATATGTCTGTGTCTGTACACATAGATATAGATATATATACTTTTAAAATTTTGATTTCAAATAAGAAAAATATTTCTGATAATTTGTGTAATTTACTGATTTGATATTTTAGCCCAAAGGAAAGAAATTTGATAATTAGCTAAATGTATAATTTCTTTTCGCCTTTTTGAGTAGTTTGAAAGATGATTATAGTACTTCAAGGACCATAAATTTGAAGGTACTCCCATTTTGCTTTAGTTCTCACCACATTATAATAAGTGATTTAATCCACAAATGGTATGTAATTATATTCTTTAAAAATACTTATTTGAAATACTCAGATACATATTGGAAAGTGTCAAATGGTGACTTGAGTTTTAATTAGGTTAAAAACTAGATTGTAATCTTGGTCTTACACTTTTAATTTCTCTGGACCTAATTATTTATAAAACAAGAAATTAGGATTTTTGACTTTATATGTAGTTACATTTGATTTACTGTTAAATGAAATAGTGTTTATTTTAAAAGATAAAATTCTTAGATAAAGATTAAAAGCTTTGATAGCAAGCCTAAGGTAATTGAAATATAAAATGTTTCTCCCTGGATTATAAATACTGCCTATAAGTTTTTACTAGACCATTAGAGAAATACATTATTCCTCAGTATTTGAGTAGGTTATCATTAAACCCATTTTTTTCCTTCCCTTTTTAGGCTCGAAGAGCAGTTCAGAAGAATATGATATTTATTGATCAAAATAGAGTTATGCTTAAATATCTCTTTCCTTTGAATGAAATTGTGGTAGATTTTTATGACTCTTTGAAATCCCTGTCTTCTGGATATGCTAGGTAAAAAATCAATGAGAACCTAAGATGCTTGACCAACTTTTTTGAAATATTGATGAGCAAGAGTACACTAATTCTTTAGTAATTTCAGCTTTCTTGAAGATAGTTGAGAAGCATACGCTAAGGTTAAAATGACTTGGAACAACCTTATAGGTGTTACAGACTACTTGTGATTTGCTTATAGGAGAAAAACTTTCTTTATTTTCTAACTTTTATTTCTCTTAACAAAAAAAGTTAGTCCCCTTTTCATGAAGAGTTGTATTCCTTGTCTGTTAAGAATTAGACCTAATTTCAAAAATTTACTGTAACCTCAGTGGCACTTTTAAAATGTATTTGTATGTTATGCAATCTCAAGAGCATCTATTTATATTTGAAAAATAAAAGTGCATATTCAGTCTGTAAAAAATGTTAAGTGTGCCCCTCCATTAGTGAATACTTTAATAACTTAGTCTTTCCAGGAGCAAGTTGTCCACATCATGAAAACCATTGTGTATCTCATAGGAGTACATGGAGAAAAGCCAGATAAAAATGAAAGAAGAGTTACTATTAAATAACAAATAAGGAACTCAGGGCATGGCATTCTGAGAGGCTGTTTTTTTTTTTGTTTTTGTTGTTGGGGCATATCACTCTAGATACCCTCACTATGCCCTAAAATCTTATGTTACAGGATAGTATATAGTAGAAAATAGATATGAAACATGGGGAAGCAGAAGGGGAAAAATGAACATTGACATCTGTAGAACTCCCACACAGTGCATGAATATTATTGTTAACGTGCAGAGACAAATTTCAGTGTTTAACGAACATGCTACAGTGACTTGGAATTTTAACTTTATTTAATCATCTTGTCAGTGAAGAGAGTTAGCATATATAATTCTTCTTACCAAGGAATCTTCATGTTCCTTTGTATTGAGAATTTTTTTCTACTTTGTCACCCAGTTTGTTTGTTTTTCTTTTTTCTTTTATGTCTTCTTTCAGACAAGACCTTGAGCAAGTAAGTGGCTGTGGAATTTAAAGTAAAATGAATTGGGGGGCATATTAAAATTACTAGAGTTGAAAGGAAGATTACTAGGTTTAATGTTTATAAATATTTTTAACAGAAGTCTGTCAATTTTAGTTTGCATTTGGGTACTACTTTCTGAATTATAAGTGGTCTTAAAAACCCTTTTCATTTGGAAACTTAAATACATTTTGAATTTAATGAGAGAACGTGATTTTTGAACTACATAAAAATAAAATATTCCAGCTTCCAGCATTAAGGTAATTGTTATGTTCAAGATGGATGTTTTACATATGCAGTCAATTCCACACTTAACAGAAAGTCATCATAGGCTATGAATTAAGATCAGGGAAAAATTTTATTTCATACCAGGAGGCAGGAATCAACTGCAACTAGGTCAGAGCAGGGAGTCCTGTGTTATACAAGAACTGTAGTGATGTCTAATCAAACAGGCATTTGCCCTCAACTCATAACTCCAGTAGCTTTTTGGAATTGCAGATGTGTTTCCTGCATTCTAAAGGAACGCTAGAATACCTGTGTTTTCAGTAGAGGTTAGGAATTGTTTGGGCTCCTTGGAAAAAGAAAACACAATTTTTATAATGATTTCTTTTGAAAAAATGAGTTAAGAAATTTTTAAGATTTTTAATATTTTGGACCACAACATAGCTAGAGATGTAACAACTTCAAAGTTAAGGACCACGTCTGTTTTTTTCTCTTCCTATTTGCTTTGTATTCTATAGGATACTTAACATGGTATCTTTCCTACAGTAAATGTTTAATAAGTGATGCTTTCTGAAGAAAGGATTTTAACAGTACTTCTGAAAAGAATCTGTTAATAGAGTGTATTATTGTCATTTTATGACCTTTCTGCTGAAAATCTTTAGAAACCAAACATAATTTTGCAAGTCCAGGCACCAGTTGTTTTAAAATTAAGACAGTAGGAGTATACATGTTCTTGTCTGTGATTGGGACAACTTGTAAGCCTATAATTGAAATTTTCTTGTTAGACTTCAGTTTTATAAGTTAAACATTTAAATACCTGTTTTGACTAACATTGCAAGCTTTGACCACATTGTTAAAAGTAACAGCTGAAACTAAGTGCTTGTTTGCATGCTAAACTAGGCTCTGTTTGACTCTGTTTAAACATGTATTAGGTACTAGGCATTGCTCTAAGTGGTTTACGTGTATTAACTCATTTAATCTTCACAAAAGTCTTCTGAAGGGAGGTGCAAACTGAAGAGCCACATAGGAAATTCAAAGGTCTCATTTATTAATGGCATTTTATGAGAGTCATAGCATTTATTTAAACATAGAGTTGTCATTGGTAATAGAAAGTAAAACAGAAACCCAACTCATAAATCTGAAAATGATCCATTAATATATAGTATTGTCTGAAGCCTGCCAGCTGCTGGGAACATGGGAAGGCATGATATTTGTTTTCAATAAACCCTTTTCTTTGTCAGGTTCACCAATTTATTTCCCTTTCCCCTATAAACATATTCTGCTTGTTTTTGCCCTTGATTTAATAAACATAAAAAGATAACATTTAGATACATTCACAAGAAATTGTATGTGTAATATTTTGATGGAAAGTTAGATCTCTTTGGGGAGTGTAATGTGGCAAAAAGTAGACATAAAGAGTAAAAAAGGTAATCTCTTGGGAAGTGTAATATTTATCACTTGGACTTTTTTCCTTTTAGTTTTGATTACGAAGATGCAGGCTACCAGACTGCAGAACTTGTGAAAATGGATATTCTACTGAATGGAAATAGTGTAGAGGAGCTAGTAACTGTTGTACACAAGTAAGTTGAATAGAAACTAATCATGGAATGTGAAAATACTCACTTTTGATATGTTTTTCACTTATTTTTGAGCAGCTGCATTTAAAAAACTTTTAAAGGTAATTAAAATAGAGTTCACCTTATTTACTTTGCTTTCTCTTCTTTTTCCACACTTCTCTCTGGACTGCTAAAAATAGAACAGAGCTATAATAGTCAAAAAGAATAGTGTAATAGAAATGTTTCCCCTTACCACGTACAAAAAAAAAAGTTTTAAAAATTTTATGATGATGGATTTAGAATTGGGAACAAGTTTTTTTGTTTTGTTTTGTTTTTTTAGATGGGAGTCTCATTCTGTCACCAGGCTGGAGTGCAGTGGCGCAATTTCTGCTCACTGCAATCTCTGCTTCCCGGGTTCAAACGATTCTCCTGTCTCAGCCTCCTGAGTAGCTGGAACTACAAGCGCGTGCCACCATGCCCAGCTAATTTTTGTATTTTTAGTAGAGACGAGGTTTCACCATATTGGCCAGGATGGCCTTGATCTCTTGACCTCTGATCTGCCTGCCTCAGCCTCCCAAAGTGCTGGAATTACAGGCGTGAGCCACCGCACCCTTTTATATTTGTAAAAAAACTATAAAAAGGAAAAAACCCACATGTTCAAAAAACAGAAGATTGGTTAAAATGGATTACAAAGCACCCATATTGTTATTTTCAGCCATTAAAACTTGAGTAGTATTTAGTGACAAAAATGTCTATTAAATAAGAGGGTAGAATATATCATAAACACTGATCATAACAAAAATATGCAAAAAAATGACTAGAAAGATATATGTTTAAAATAAACATTCCAAAATGTTTAACGTTTTCAGTGGCTAAGGAAAGAGAATCAAGAATGGTTTCTATTCTCTAATGTTGTATTTCTAAATTTCCTGTAGTCATACATTGCTTTCTTAGAGAAGTTGTTCATGATTCAGAGAGTAAGAGATGTTTATGATAAGTAAGTTCCATTTGAACCTCCTTAAGAGATCACCTTTACATTAATTATGCAACTGGCCTAGAAAAATACTTGAAATATTCTTGTTTAGGATATATAAACAGTTGTATTTTTCTGTCTCAGAGACAAAGCACACTCAATTGGCAAAGCCATATGTGAACGGCTGAAGGATTCTCTTCCTAGGCAACTGTTCGAGATAGCAATTCAAGCTGCTATTGGAAGTAAAATCATTGCAAGAGAAACGTGAGTTGAAATTGATTTTTGTTCTTGAGCCAGTTTCAGAAATGATATACCTAAAAAGTAAAAGAATATTGAACATTTTAACATTGGCCTAAGCTTTATTCTTACTTGTAGAAACAGTATGATAGTGCTCTCCATTTTTCTGATTTAAGTAATGACTGTTAGTTTGAATTACTTATATAACACCATTGGGTGATGTGATTTGCAGTTAGTATAATGTGTATGGGTTTGAGGAACTGTTTTAATTTCCACTCATATGAATGTCTATAACTGAATTTCCCAGGTAAGGAATTTCTTTATGGTTTTATCCCTTTAGGTAGATTATAAATTAATAGAAACGGAAACTAAAAGATTTTGTCTTCCTAATGACAAAATTACAATTTTTTTTTAACCCAAAGTATTTAATATCACTTCCCCACTTCCCCAGAGCTAGGGAGGTTATAAACCAAGGAATGCCAATACCATGTTAGGATTTGCATTCTAGATTAGGGACCTCACATGAATTATAGTAGACATGGAAGACAGGCTAGTTTCTATAGGACACGGAAATGTAATACATAAATCAGAACACTGGCTGGGTGTGGTGGCTTATTCTGTGATCCCAACTACTTGGGAGGCTGGGGCAGGAGAATTGCTTTGAGACTAGTCTGGGAAACATAGACCCTGTTTAACAAAAAAACAAAAATAGCAATAAAGAACACTGAATAAGCTGCTCAGCTTGTAACAGCAGGTGCAGGGTGTGTCTTGTAGCACTTCCCATTTCCTTTCCTTAATGATACTAAGACTTCTGGGAAACAGGAAGTATCTCCTCAGTTATGAAAAGCTGAAAATTGCTATTAAAGTCTACCTTTACTCAAACCTAATGGGGAAATACAACTATCATGTTAATATAGATTTGAGGTTAATTTTAGGCCCACTGTTTGAAATACATTTCATTTCCTAACACAATTTTGCTTCAGTTAGTTATTCTGTGTTTCGTAAATACTGAGATCAGGCAGAGTGGAGATGATAACCAGGGAACATCCTGGGAAGTGCAACTTAAGACAGTTAGCAAATGCTCATTCTAACATAAGTGTGTTGAGAGAATACGTTAAAGAAACAGGTTTTTCTCTCTAAAGGAATAAAGGTGGAGCTATTTTCAAAATTAGATGATCTAGAAATTTCTCAAACATTATAGAAATAGATTAGTTTATAACTGGTGGGGTAGATATATTAATCTTCCTAGCCACTCCATCCACATTCAGTAGAGGCAATAAGATAATAAACATGTTTTGTTTTTCTGTAGTAGTAGTGGTAACAGTATTTTTAGATTGAGTAAAAAATAACTAATATATTTCTTGTAATCAAGGTCACATCATGCTTGAATTTGGCCTAATCAAGCCTACCACAAGCCTTGACCTTTTTTTCTTAATGTGTGTTGACAGACATGTTGAATTTGTTCTTTTATGCCAAGTACATGAAAATAAATACAAGAGCATTTGAAGTATCTAATTAATATGCTTATGGAAATTTTACATAGGTAATGATACTGTCATTAAAATTTTCTAGTAAAGGGGAGATTGTTTTTGGTAAGAAAGTGCTTTTAAACAGTATGGAATTATGTACTTAAATGAAATTTTCTCTTTTACAGTGTGAAAGCCTATAGGAAAAATGTTTTGGCAAAATGTGTATGTATCTAGTTGTATTTATTCTACTTTATAACTTTTATGGGTTTTAAATCAAAGGGGGCATAAGCTTACTGATTTCTATTGTTGGTTTTTATACAGTATTTCCAAGTTTTCTTTTTGAATAGGTAAATTTCAGCTTGACCATGGCGACCGGTTCATTTTGCCCATATCCTTAAATACTTTTTCATCTTATTTATAAAATAAAAATTTACAAAAGAATTATGAAAATTGTTCTTATATGTAATACTAAGGAAGATTCTTATAACAGTTATTTCTATGATCTGGGTAACATGTTTTCTTGATCTGACATGTAATGAAAGATTTTGAAAACAATGGCTTTATTTTACAGTTGAAATCAATCTCTCCTGACATATGCTTTGCCAGTTTGCTGTTATTGAGCTGTTAAAAAATTATTCTTGCCCGGGCTTGGTGGCTCACACTTGTAATCCCAGCACTTTGGGAGGCCAAGATGGGCAGATTACTTGAGGCCAGGAGTTCGAGACCAGGCCTGGCCAACATGGAAAACCCCCATCTCTACTAAAAATACAAAAATTAGCCAGGCCTGGTGGTGCATGCCTGTGATCTCAGTTACTCGGGAGGGTGCAGCACGAGAATTGCTTGAGCCCAGGAGGCGGAGGTTGCAGTGAGCAGAGATCATGCCACTGTACTCCAGCCTGGGTGAGAGGGAAACTCTTATCTCAAAAATTAAGAAAAATTAGTCTTAAATATAGTGATAATTGAATGATCAATTCTTTCTCCAAATGCTCAGTATAGTTTTTGGCACATTTATTCCTATGTGATTAACAGTTTCCTATATTAGACTGTGGCTTTATAGTCAAAATTCCAAGCTTAGAATCAGTAATGAGACTGATAATTCTTCCTTGACATGCATATTATAATACTTCGTTTCTTTAGGGATCTTCACCTCCATCCAAATTAAAGCCTTTATCATTCTTTGACAGTAAAATTAGGATCTGCTAGGAAGATTAGAGAGATGTCTGCCTTATGGAAAATAATTTGGTATGGTTATTAAGATTGTACTGATGCCTCTGTAATCATGTGATTATTTTCTCTTTAGAGTGACTCAGACTTCCAATTTTTAAAAATATTTTTCAGTATGGTGGTGATATTACCCGAAAAATGAAGCTTTTGAAGAGACAAGCAGAAGGAAAAAAAAAGCTGAGGAAAATTGGCAACGTTGAAGTTCCAAAAGATGCTTTTATAAAAGTGCTGAAAACACGATCTTCTAAATAATTGGTGGGAAAACAAAGAATTTTCATAAATTAAAAACTCTGTTTTTCACTGCAATTTGTAGTATGCTGACAACAGAATGAAAATTATAAAATTTGCTTGTTACTTTCAGGGTATTCAGGTTCAAATAACTTACTAGCCTTTCATTGAAAGGGAGTAATGAGTGGGTAGGTTAAGAGCTTAAGATTTTGAAGCCATGTTGCCTGTTCTCAAATACCTGTTCCAACCACTCACTAGTAAGGTGACCTTTGCCAAATTAACCTTTGTTTCCTCTTGAGTAAAATAGAGATTATATACTACCTACATAAGTTGTTGTGAAGATTAAATGAAGTAATACATTAAATATTCAGAGGTAAAAGCACTCAGTTGTTGAGTCCTTAATGCAGTTATGTCCTTAAATGCATTGTAGGGTCCTTAGAAACTGACTCTAAGCAAGATGTCACGTAGCAGGTCCTTGAATGATGACATTTCCTTCTAAGTGGTTTATAACATTGATGAGGAAAAAAAATTGGTTTATGAATCATTTCATTATTATTATTTATTTATTTATTTATTTTTTGAGACGGAGTCTTGCCCTGTCGCCCAGGCTGGAGTGCAGTGGCACAATCTCGGCTCACTGCAACCTCCACCTCCCGGGTTCAAGAGATTCTCCTGCCTCAGCCTCCATTACAGGTGCGCACCACCATGCTTGGCTAATTTTTTGTATCTTTAGTAGACATGGAGTTTCACCATGTTGGCCAGGCTGGTCTCGAACTCCTGACCTCGTGATCCACCTGCCGTGGCCTCCCAAAGTGCTGAGATTACAGGCATGAGTCACCATGCCCAGCCATGTCATTTCATTTAAAGTCACAATTTCCATGAATCTCAACAAGTGAGGACCTGCTACATTTTGTTGCGTGCAGTTTTTCCTTACTGACACTAAAAGGCCGCATACTTAAGATTCCATCTACTTTAAGTTAAAGGATTTTCAGAATCACCTTAAGTGTCAAATTTGTTAGCAGGATTAATTTAGCTGATATGAATTCATTTATTAAACAGAACTCAAATAACATACTAACTAGACAGCTGCTCTAGTTCATGATAAAATGTTTATAGATTTTATCAGGTTGTTTGAAACTAAATGGTTTACGTCTAAATTAAGGGCAGACATTGAAAACGCATTTGTGTAAAAATGACAGGTGTTTGGTGTTACCAGGAACTCTTAATGACATTTTAATAATTATTGTCTAAATTTCATAATTGAAGCGATTTTAGAGTAGTTAACTTGAGATTTCAGAGCCACTAAATGGCTGTATTTCTCCAAAGCTCTCAGCTGCCGTGTTTATTCAGCCAATGAACAAACCAGACTGCAGACTATATTATAGCAAGATAACATTATTTAGCCATTGATTTTTATCTTCTACCTTGCTTGAATGAACTGAATGAAGAAAATGCCTTTTAGGGATAAACACTGTCAAGGATGAATTTTATACTAAGGTTATGTGAAAGAAAAAAAATCTCAAAACCACTAAGCCAGAGGGAAGTCAGGCTGGGAACTGATTGAGGCAAACCTGCCTCCCATTTTATTCCTAAATGAAGACAGTCACAAAGATAAAATTTGCTCACAAGGAAATTCCTTATGGACAAAGACAGAACTCAAAGTCTTCCTTCTGCTCACATGAAACAAATGCATAAATGGTTGCTTCCTGTGCCCCGTGTTTCACTAAGCCAGATTAAGGTGTAAGTATTCCCCTACCCTCCTCTCACACGTAAATTGTATATTCAGTGAAAGGCTAATCAGAAACTCAGAAGAATGCAGCTCTTTCTCTCTTACCTGCCTATGCTTGAAGCCCCCGCCCCTCTTCGAGTTGTCCTTCCTTTCAGGACCAATGTACACCTTACACATACTGAGTGATGTCTCATGTCTGTCTAAAAATGTGTAAAACCAAGCTGTGCCCCAAACACCTTGGGCACATGTGGCAAGGACCTCCAGAGGCTGTGTCACGGGCACATCCTTAACCCTGGGAAAATAAACTTTCTAAACTGACGAGAGCTGTCTCAGATATTTTGAGCTCCCAGTTATTGTGAAATCATCTTAATTATAAATTGAGATTTACTTAAAATCACGTGTAGAAGTAGCCTGAGATGTAGTCCTAGATACATACATTATCATCTTATGTATCTTCCCTCCCCCTTCCAGGTTCTGATAAAACATGAAATCTGAAAGACCATGACAGCAGTATTTTGAAAATGACAGTATTTGAAACTAAAAAATTGTAAAACAAAGTGTTCTGTCACTGCCAAGGGATAAGTTACAAATTGGTTCTTGGAACATAATATGTACTATGTGCTTGTTATTTAATAATTTACCAATATTAGCCTTTTTTAGTCAGACTATTTTTTTTTTTAACCTATGACTCTTTAGGAAATAGTTTTAGTTATAATAGTACAAAAAAGCATTTTCATAAGCTTAATTTCTTTCCCCGTCCCACTTTCTCAGTCAGATGACTTTAGTGACTTGGAGTTGTGTGCTTTATAAGTGTATTCCTCAGAGGACCTAACATTAATAAGATTTTAGCAATCATTAAAATATGTTTAAACACTGTTATCAATATTAAAATAGCACTATTTATTGAATTTAATATGTGACGACCACTCTGCTGACCTATGTATGCTTCCCTCATTCAATCTATTTAAAACTTTTGGGAAAGAAGCAGAGTTTATTTTCCAAAGTCACCATTGTTGACAGACAGAGCTGGGATTCAATGGTTTCTTTCTTCAAAAAGCTAAGTTCTTTGCCTAACAGCAGCTTAGCTCCTGAGTTAGGGAATGAAAGCAGGAATGAAAGTGGCCAGAGTTTCCGCTATTCAGCTTGTGGAGGAGCTTGAGTACATGAACCTCAAGTAAGCCCCTAACATCAAGGTCAGGAAAGGAGAATTTTTAGACCTTTAAAGCACAGAAATAACTGGTGAATCATGTACCACAACAGGTACCTTTAGCTTTTTCACTGTGATGCTGTATGACTTTCTAAGGTAGTCAGCATAGTTTGTAGTAAATTATTCTTATTACTGGAAGTGTACGTGGAATGTTACTGACTCACTAGTTACTTAAAAAACATAAGGCTATTAAAACATCATCTGGAATTAAAGCAGCAAATTTACCCCATCCCCCACTTGTAACCATAAAATCCTATTACCAATTTTATTTCATTAATTTATTTGCTCTTTTAATATTTTAAGAAACTAAATACATTTTAATCACATAGACAAGCAGGTAAGTAAGGCTTCTTCTACCAGGTGGGCTTATGAAATGCAAAATAAGCAAAAGGAGCATTTTTTTTGCTCCCCACAGAGGCAGAGACATCTTTTAACCTAACTCCTGATGCATGATGGCAACAAACGCAAACTAAATGCAGGTTCACATGTACTATAATTGTTGGGAGTTGAATTCATGTATTCAGTTTCACTTCTGGAAATAAAATTTAGATAACTTATTTATTACACGCTTTATTTGAGTTAAAGATAGAAAACAATATACTTTTATGTAAATTGCTATGGCAATGTAGTTTACAGTAATTCCTTTTATATATAGTTCATATTATTTTAGACATAAGGAATAAAGCTAGTCGTATATTAAGTTTAACAATAATCAGAAAATATTCTCCAAAATAATTTCCTGAAGTGGATTGCTAGGTATAAAGCTCATAATTGTCAAGATACTTATGTTAGGGACATGAACCCAAGTCGTTAAAAATAAGATATTTGTAAAAAAGTGCTATAGAAGGTGGTGCACAAAAAACATGCACTTACACATACTTTCTGAAAGGATGTAAACTACTTTTAGGCACTGTCATCTCTTCAAATTTCCTTTACCAACGATATATAGCACAATTTTTGATGTCTAGATAGTGCTGTAGGAAGATGACTAAGGCAACCACGTGCAGAAAAGCATGTGTGTGATGCACAGAAAATATGAAGATCGCATTCCAAAAGTGAAGGTCTGCAATGACAGTTTGATCTGAAAGGTTTGGAGTGTCATGTCATTAAAAAATGAAATATATGCCACTGGAGTCATATCACAAATGGCACCTGATGTGTACACTCTACCTTTAAAATGACTTTTTAAACGGGCAGACATTTCTATGCTGTTTATAAGTGGCTATGTGACTTCAATACTTTATAACAGCCAATCTTGAGAGCCAGCTACTTCTCTTAAACCCAAGTACAAGATATAAATATTCAAATTATGGAATGTTTAACATAGATACTCAAATGAAAAAATGACAGTCTTCAAAATTTCCCATGTTTTATCATATTGCATAGCTGAAAATTCATCTACTACTTAGTAAAAAGTGCTCTGTTCATTCAAGCAGAATTTTGCTCCATTCTCCTTCAATTTCCATCTTTCATACTGAATAGTGGATCCACAAGTTTATTGTGCACATGCATTAGACCTTAAAGAAAAAAAGCACAGTTCTAGTTGTTTTGTTAATTTTGAACTATTTCATTTACTTCAGACAACAAAGTATTTTTTATAAGACACAGTAAGCTGTTTAGTTCCCATCTTGATAGTCAAGTTTATTGGAAAAGTACAAATAGAAATGTTTCAGAATGTCTTTTATCTACCTAGCAAATACCAATTTATAACAGTCAGAACTAGAATATGTACAGGTATTTTGGGAGTAACCAGAAGAGCAGTTCTTGTCTTCAAAGAGATTCAGCATGACAAATTTGAATACTGACTTAGATGATATGTTTTAATTACATCTGAAAGTTTATGTTGATCTTGATCTTCTGGCACTTCCTCTACTAGACTCCAGCCAGGGGCTCAGAACTGCTGTCTCACTCTTAATACATTACCCTATCCATTCATCTGGCAAATTATTTTCTAATAGTTTGGCATGTGTATTTATGACGAAGGTTGATTACAAATTCTACAATGAGGGAGGGTTACTAAAACAATACAGAAAACAACCTGTACTAAATCATTTAATTCAGAATAGAAATTTAGATTTTAAATCAGATAGATTATAACTTTCATTTTGTAACTAGTACATATACTTGCAGTCTGCTCTTAGCTATGAAAGCTGCTTGGGAAATAGGTGATCTTCCAGTTACTCCTGTTTTAATGCCTCAGTACTATACTACTTCAGGGAGAAAAAAAGTTCTAAAAAGACTGTCTTTGACCCAATTAGTGAACCAGAGATTTTATATTTTGGAGGGTAAAGAAATGAGTTAAAATTTCCAGGTTATTAAGAACATGGGGGGCTGGGGAAAGGCACTTACAATGCGGTTTTGCAGGAAATGGAATTACTGGATTGGACAGATAGGTTGCTTGTTAGTGAACAGATATTCCTTGTCAGAAAGGCTGCAAAAAGGACTCTAAAATCCCAACTTTGAGAAAGACCCACTTTTAAGGGACAAGCAAAGAGCACTGGGAAGTGTTTGTGTAGTAGGAGAAATTCTAACCATAAGAACAGGACTGTAAAGGAGGGAAGGGGGAAGCATTCCATTCACTAGTGCTGCAACTGAAAGTGAGAGAATGCTTCTCAACAGCCTACTTGAAGGTCATATTAGCACCGGAAACTTCACGTCCAGTAGGAGAGGGGACAACAAAGATAAGGGTAATATCAGCTGTATGATTTAGAAGATGTAACATTTTCCGGAGTATCAGTTTGTAGAGAAGCATTTTTTTTTTACTTAAATAGTATTCATCTGGCATTTGCTAACAACTTTGATTATGGAAAGAATACACAGAGCTTTAAAATACATGCAACTTAAAATAACAGGAAAAACATTAAAAATTCAACTCCTTTATAAAGTTTTTTCCTTTACTATACATTGGATATATCTTTTATACATCAAATAGGACTGCTTCCAAACTAGAAATAATTATTTTGAAAATTCTATTAATTGCTTTTTAGGTATTAAGTCAAATATTTACTGTGACTTTAGGTAAAAATTGACAACTTTCTACATATGAATTTTATATAAACAAATAATTGCTACTTAAGTCAAACAATTATTCTGATAAAAATGCACCAGACTTCCTGAAACCTTACCAGAGGAAAGGTTAAATGTCATAGATTCTAACCAATGTCTATACAAAGTAACTTTTATGGTTTTGACTCAAAATGAACTCATTCTACCTTTGTCAAACTACTGAGGTGGAGCCTAAATACAAAGTAAGAGAAAAAATTCATATGTCATGAAAATTTACTAAAATCAAAGATAAACTGTTCTATTTAAAAAGCAAAAATGAAAAGCGAGAATGAATAAAACAAATCCCCAGGTACTAAACTTGTTGTCTTGTGATTAACTTGTATCTTTCAAAAGGTATATACTGCTATATAGGTGTATACTGAAATAAACTTGCATTTGCTGACAGTTTCTATTGTTTTGGATCTAGTTAACCTAGATCTTATCTAGGCACTAAATAGAACCCTTTAAGATTCTGGTTGGCATTTTTTAGTGATGACAGAAGAAAGGGTAGTGATATGAATGGAATTTGAAGAGTTATGGATGACAATTTTAGGAATTTACATACTCCAGTATTTTGATATACTAGTAACTCAATGGAGGTATGAAAAGTATACAAACTACATTTGAAATGTGTTTATTTAAGAATATTCAATTTCTCTACCCTTTACTAAAATACTATAAAATGAGGCCCATATGTAGCCCAGAATATCTAAATTATGTCTTCATATTGAAGGAGATACCCTAACAGAGGCTGATATCCTCAAACCTCTTCAGAAATACAGACAGCTCCAAAGTGAAAAATATTGTGTCCTTTTTAGGTAATGCATCTATCTTCTCATGAATGGTCTGTTTCAAAATTTTTCATAAGAGCTTACAATTAGATGAACTAAAAGAACTAAATACATATAAACATCTACCACCCTTCTATTTTAAATTCTCTAACATATGTCTATATACCTTTTTTGGAAGCACTGGTTATGATATGGGGAAAAAAGCATATGGAAGTATGATTTTGATGTAGATGGTATCATACCTAGAGTTTATTCTGGGAGGCAGTATAGCAGAATAGACAAAAGCCTATATACTCCAGAGATCAGCCTGATTTTGATTTCTATTACCCAGCTCTGCCCAAATATGTGCTGTATGACTTTGGGTAAGTAGCTTAACATCTCTGTCTGTTAAGCCTATTAATTCATTTAAAAATGGGACTATGAGTACCCATTTCGTAACATTTTTGTGATAAGTAAATCAAAAAGTAAAATGCATTTAGAATAGTGCCTGGTCATAGAGATATTGGCTATTATCAAATATCTTACTAAATATTCACCAAAATAATATTCACCAAAATGTAAAAATCTGATAAAAAAAATTGTGACAAAATCAGATTAGTACAGGCACTTATCTGGGACTTAATTAGGACTAGAAAACGACCATGTTAAACGAATCTCCTTAAAACTGGAATTAAAATTTGTGGATAGTAAGGATTCCTTGTAGTCAAGGAATCTATTATTTGGGATGAAATCTGAAGGATTACATGGGAAAAAAGAGTTAAAACTCCATCAAATGCTCTGTTTTATTCACAAATCAGAAATTTTTCAGTTTTTCAATTTTTCAGTTTAATCTATTTGTAGCTTGGTAAATTAATAATTTAAATGCTAAAAATATAAATAACTAGAAATAATCTTTAAGTGTTAAACAATAAGGAAATGTTTAAATAATGATTTATGTACTTGACTATCCATTAAAATGCTTCCAAATATTTAGAAGAGGCAAATGCTCATGAAACATAAGTACAAATACAAAACTATATACAAAGCACGATTAGTATTTTGTTTAAAAATAGACTATTTTATGCTTGCCAAATGTCAGTTATTTGTATAACACCTTCAAGATATTTGCCATATTCACACATTTACATGAAATATGGGTTACTGGTTTTGTTTGCATTGAATTAAAAATTTAAGATTATATACTTTATTTCTGAATATGAGATGCTATAGACTGTAAGACACATCATTTTATGTACCACTGAGAAAAAAATGCTACCCGGTAAGCTATGATCTGACACCAATTTTAAGACACAGTCCAACATCAGCAAGATCAATGTATATGAGAGCCAATCAAATATGGTAGCTTTTTTGGACCCTGTCTTAAGCAATAATATCCAAAAAATACAGCTTTCATTTATTCAGTGTATTTTCCAATAGGCATTAAAATAAATACCTAGCTACTAGAGTAAAAAAGATTAAAAAGTATAATCATGTAGCAAAAGTAGCATACCTACTACATGCTTATCACTGACCTATCTATAGGATCAACTATATAACTTTTAATATCAGCTATGTAAATACAGGTGCTTTATGAAAATTACCTGTTTGTACAGCTTGCTTACATATGTGTAATATGTGGAGCTGACTCTTAGAGAATGGGTTCGACATTGGGTATAGGCAAAATGTCCCTTGAAAAGCTCTTAAAACCATTATATCAAGCATATGTGTTTTGTAATACACAGCCTGGTACAGTAAGGTTTCTGAATTACTGGACTACAGGAAAAAGCAAAAAGGAAAATCAACATGAAGTCTGGGCAATCAAACTCCTGCTTACTTGCAGAGTTTATTCCATACTGTTTTAACATTTAGCCATTATAACTTTAATATATGGGAATAAATTGGCTTAAAATTGTAAAGATTAAATTAGTGGGAGATCTCTATTATCCACTGATTAGGTTCTAAATTTAGGTTAGAGGGGAGTGAGGGAGAGGGATTGAGGTGGGACTGGTAAATATGAAAAGAAATCCAGAATGAACAAAGATACATTTTCTTTTGGGTTATTTGGTCTTATATATTCAATATGAAAGTAAATTATTAAACCTTGGATTTCAAGAAAAAATGTTTACTGAAAATAGAAACTGAAGAGATTCTTCATGAAAAACAAAAAAAATAGGTACTACTTTGAAGACAGTATTATCTGAGAACTTTCCATTCCTTGAAAGAACCAGCTGTGTGTTGCCACTTTTCAACACTTCACAGTGTGAGATTTAACTCCACAGTCACAGTAAGTTTCAATTTTCATCCACAACAGAATATCTCAGTCGGCTTTTGAAATTCAGTGCTCACCTTTAAAGTATTTCACA